AAACATGGTGGCCCCATCGGGGCTGTGGGCTCCACCACTGCTGCCAGGCTCAGATGACTTTGGGGTCTTTTCTCTCACCCAGCAGCCAGTATGTCCGCATCTTCCCCTTGCCCTGGGGGGCAGAGGGGGGTGGTGAGACCCTCCCTGCCCCCAGCACTGCTCCTTGGGTGCCGTCCCCAGCACCGAGAGAGACAAGAAGTCCCAGCCCTGACCCACGCACCCGTCGCACACCCTGTGCCCTCACCTTCATCTCCACATCCCCACGCAGCTCCAGTTCAAAGCAGCCAAACTCATCCAGGACTTCCTTGGTGGTGGACGAGACATGGATCTTCAGGGCTGGGTGGCACAGACGGAAAAAAGGGACATGGCTGGGTCCGGGAGTGGGGCACAACCCATGGCACTGGACCCTGGCTGCCAGCCCCATGGCTCACCCTGGCCGTTAGACTCCATGCGGGATGCAGTGTTCACCGTGTCCCCGAACAGGCAGTACCGCGGCATCTTCAGACCCACGACTCCGGCGCACACAGGACCTGTGGCCAGAGAGAAGCCCGGGGCTACTGCAGGATGTGTGGTCGAGCACCGCCCCCAGCCACGGTGCCATACACCGCAGGGGCTCACCAGTGTGTACACCAATACGCAGGTGGAGCTGGTCGTTGGGGCGGTGCCGGATCTTGAAAGTTTTTACGGCCTCGAGCAGTGCCAGAGCCATGCGGACGATCTCACGGGCGTGCAGCTTCCCGTTGCGCACCGGCAGTCCTGACACCACCATGTAGGCATCCCCGATGGTCTCCACCTGTGGGGTCAGGGGGAGCAGGTACAGCCCGGGCTCCTTGCTGCCCACCTCACTTCAGGGGGCTGCGCTTGCTCGCTCCCCCACACCTCACCTTGTAGACGTCAAAGTTGTCGATGATGGCATCAAAGCAAGTGTAGAGATCGTTCAGCAGTGTCACGACCTGGATTGAGCAAGGGCGTGTGTGGGGCTGGGAGCAGGTATGTCTCCCCCAGCCCCAGGGATGGCAGTGCCAGGGTATGAGCCCCCCACCAGCCCTGCAAGGGGGGTCCCCCCCCCAAGCCCTGCTCTCACCTGCATGGGGGTGCTCTCTGCCGAGAGGGCAGTGAAGCCCACGATGTCGCTGAAGTAGATGGTGACACTGTCGAAAGCCTCGGCCCGCACTGTCTCCCCACGCTTCAGCTGCTCCGCCACGGAGCTGGCAAGCACAGGGGGGATGGTGGTGGGCTCCCACCCTAAACTCTCTGTTCCCTCTGCATCCCTCACCCTACACCAGCATGGAGAGCCAGCAAGGGACCCCATGCTTGTGTGGCAGCGGGTGCGCGCTGACCCCATGCCAACTCCCACCCCCACATGCTCCCAACTCTCCCCCTCTCACTGGGGCAGGATCTGGTAGAGGAGGTTCTCTGCCTTGCGCTTCTCCTCCAGGTAGGCCTGGTTCCGCTGTTCCACTAGCTTCTCCAGGTTGTTGGCATACTGCTCCATGCGTGACAGCAGGTTGTCCAGGATGCTGGTGCTGCCCTCCCTGCCAAGGTGCAGGCAGCTGGCACCACGGGAAGAGGTGCCCCCCCCCCAAACCCCGCCGCTCGCCATGGCTGTCCCTGCTCAGTGCCACCCTCCCCACTTCCCAGCCACCCACTTGTTGAATCTACGGATGAAAATCTTGATCTGGCTGAAGTCGGGGCGCTCAGCCGGCTCCTGCGCCCAGCAGCGCTCCATCAGCACCGCCAGCTCCTCGCTGTGCACCCCAATGTCAATGGAGGGGCGGAAGAAGGGCTTCTGGCTGTTACGCACCTTCTGCACGATCTCTGCCAAGGGGTGGCCAACGGTGAGCACCAGACCTCCCCAGTGGGGGACCACCCCACACCTGCCTACCACCCTCACCTTTGGGGCTCAGGTCCATGCCCTCAATGTAGAAGGGTCCATTGCGCAGGGCAACCTCCTGCACGATGATACCGAAGCTGTAGACGTCAGCTTTCTGCATGCCTGGGGTGGGCAGGCGCCCCTTCTGCAGCAGCTCTGGAGCCGTCCACAGCTTCTCTGGAGGGACACGGCCATGGGGTGGTGAGGCAGGGCCACCTCATCCCCCTAGTCCTGCTGAGCAGGCACTCACTGGCATAGAGGGCGTGCGTGTCCTCGCCATCGCAGGGTGAGCGGAAGCTGGCCAGCCCATAGTCAGTGATCTTCAGCACGAAGCGGCTGTCCACCACGCAGTTGGATGACTTGAGGCTGCCATGGTGGCCGATGATGCTGTTGTGCAGGAAGGCCATTCCCTGGGACAGACGGACATAGTGAAGCTCATCCCTCAGGCACCATCCCCAGCCCCTTGTGCCCATCACTTGGTTACCTTGACGATGTCGTTGATGAGGGAATAGCGAAACATCCAGTCCAGGTTGATGCTGTCATTCTCCAGGACGTCCTGGGGCAGCACATTGAGGGGACGCCGCCACTCAGGGGATGGTGGCACCAGCACGAGCCTCATTGAGCACCCAGATGTGGGGGGACTCTACGACACCCACCCGCTCCCATCCTCTGACACCTGCATGGTCAGCTCTGCTGTGAGTCTTGTGGAGCTTGGGTGGCCACCACCATCTACAGCCCTGTCCTCAATGCCCAGCCCAGCCGGGTCACCAGGAGCGCCCAAGTGTCACCCCCAGTGCCCCCGAGCCCCCCTACCTGCAGGCTGCCCGCCCCGTGGGCAGTACTCAGTGATGATGCAGATGTTAGGGGGGTCGATGCATGCCCCGATGAAGCGGGTCAGGTGGTTGAACTGGATGTCCCGCATCTAGAGGTGGAAGCGGAGCCGAGGGGGGCTTGAGGTCGTAGGGGACGCACCAGCCCTCCCCTTGCTCTGCCCCCAGGCAGGGTGCCCACCCCACCCCAGACCCCAAACCTACGTGTTTCAGCTCGAAGAGCACCTGCCGTGTCAGCTCGATGCGTTTCTTGTTGATGTGCTTGATGGCTACCACATTCCCCTGGGGTGCCAGGGAAGGGGAAGAGGTCAGATTTTGGGAGGGGGGGAAGGTGCCAGCATCCCACAGGATTGGAGTGCAGCCAAGGGAGAGCCCTCCAGCAGGGCTGGGGG